TCAGATCTTTGGTTCAGAATGTTCTCCAGCCTAGAGTCACCCAAATATCGACATCAGGGTTTGCGGGCTTGTCATCCGAGAAGCAATGTTTTGCCGCACGGAGACCTGGGCTATCCATCAAAGCCTTTTAACCAGGGCAATGGAAAAGATCGGTCTCCATAATTTCTCGGGATTGTGTGTGTCAGATACCCACAATGAGACTTTTAACCCGGCTGCCGTTCAATGGGCTTGATAGACAAAAAAACTCCGAGCGGCCTTGGCGACTTAAAGCTTTTGGACCTTTGTGAAATAAAATTGACTTCTGGCCCAAGTCACCAAAGTGCGGATTAACCATTTTGTCTGGGGTCAATTTATTCTCACCATTGGCGATTTTATATTTGACGGTCACAGTATTCTACTCTTTGTACACTTTGATTGAAGGTTAATGTACTATTTATTATTTTGATAATTTTCCTTCAATGAACCTAACTAAGATGGCAAACATCGAACAAGTTCACGGGGTATTTTGTCTCGAAATCCAGCATAGACGAAAAGATGAAATATATATACATTTAATTTACAAACCCGATGCTAAGCTTCTTTGGAACATCCCTCACTGTAAGGCAAAAAAGCGTCCTATGACAAGCAAGCCCATCGATATTTGTAATTAGAATCGTTTTAAAAATAAATAAAGCCAATTTTCTACAAATGGACAATCAGGGATGAATAAATCGGCATGCATTGTTCCTCGTGTCATTTGCGTTGTTTAATCTTTATGATATTCCCGTGATGCAATGTGGGAGGAAGCGTGAACGGATGAAGGGAACGGAGCAGGTGAAAGCTATATGATCGAACGGATCCTATTTGTCAGTAATGACCTTATGAGCACAGTGCACTCTTAGGCGTCAGGCTTTTCCGTAAGTTCATGTTTCTCCTGTGAGTCTTCAGTAGACGGATAAGAGTACTGCCACCAGGGATCATAGCTGAAGTCTCTTCGCCCAGCATACTTCATTAGCCATGCCTTCCACAGCAGGCGTATAACCTCTCCAGTTACAATGTCACCAGCATTCAAATTGAGCATGTGGATGATAAAGACACCGTCAAGTCGAAGGAACTCCTTGATAAACCTGTCAACGGTACGAGGATCGTCCGGATCCAGGGTGTCAGCATCAAGCTCCTTTTCATTCTCCGACGCCTCCAGTTCCGGTCCGAGCTTAAGGTACTTGCGAATAATCTTGGTCTTCCGCCTCCTTATGGTCAGTCGCAGGAACCAGACAATAATACTGATGCCTGTGCATACAGCCACCAGTAAGGTCCAAAACACGAGGAAGATGTAGATTTTCTCGTTGAGCATGTTCACCGCAAGCGCACACATTCCGACGTAACGGTTGTTCGCCTGGCCCAGATGACGGAGTTTCAGGCTGCAGAAGGCAACCCGTGGGAAATAGAGCGATTCTCGCCAATCGGAGCCCTGGATGAGGGAATGTGTGAGCGCGATCATAAAACCCGTCATGGAGTCGCCGTAGCCCAGAAATTTCTTCATTAGGTACAACTGGCCAATAGCATTCGCCAGGTAGAGCATTTTGATGCAAAGGTAAGAGAGGACAGTCCAGGTGCCGAGGCGTTTGCTGGCTAGCAGGAGACTGCAGGTGTCGTTTACGCGGCGACCTAGGGCAGCCATCTTGCCTCTGCGATCATCACGGTGGGCGAAAAGCAGCATTTCAAGTCTTTCTGCCACATTTGCAATCTTCTCTTCTCGCTTCTCTGGGGCGGTGGTCTTGAGGGCGTCCATGGCTTTTGTAATGATAGCAGTGAGGTCGGTTCCCAGACGGTTGAAGGTCACGTTCTGCCAGATCACGTGCGGTATGTAGAAAAGAATTGTTTGCAGACCGAGGACGAAGGGTACCCATTGATAATAAGCTGAAAGACACTGTGATTGAGTATACCGGAAGGCAAGAATAGAGTATATAGTCCCACGGGGGTAATTGCAGTTGTATAAACCTAACCCCAGACAGCTAACCCTAACGCTAAACCCAAACCATAAAACCCTTACTTCGAACACATACCCTTGATCCTAACGGTATTTCCTAACCTTAAAGCTAAAGCCTGAACCCTTACCCACACCCAAATAGGTAACCGTTAAACCCAAAATCAAACATTATACCTGTCATACTAAGTCTGAAAACCTAAAAATGTAGACGCATAAAATCCCAAACCTCATTCTAACACCCTAACCCTAAATCCATAATCCCAAGCCCAAACCCTAAAGTAACAGTTCAATTAGTCGCCCGCCTCAGATATCTCAGTCTCTAGTCTTGCGGTCAATTTTAATTTTTTTGGATTAATTTAGTTTAGTTTAGTTTTTGGTTCATTAGCTTAATTTGAGATTAAGTTTAGTTTTTGTCTTAATTAGATACCGCCAACCTTAGATATAACTACTTAAATAACTAATATATACTAAACTATGCTTAACTAAACATGTCTAAGTAAAATCGAATAATGTAATAAAATGTAATGCAATATTTATTTCTTTGATAATTTTACGTTAGCGGACCTGAGTAAAATGTGCAAACCCGAACCAGTGTAACCGTTATTTTCGTCCCGAAACCCAGCATAGGCGAAAAGATAGAAAATATGTACATTTAATTTACAAGCTTGAGGATCAGCTTCTTTAGAAAATATGTGACAGTAAGGCAAATAATCGTCCTATGAAAAGCAAGCTTACCAATATTTGTAATTAGAATCGTTTTAAGATAAAAAAGTCAGTGTTCTACAAATGGAAAATCACGAAAAAATAAATCGAATAGTGGCGTTCCACGTGTCATGGGCATTGTTTAAATTAATATATTTAGTTTGCAAGGCGATGCTAGAGGAAGCGGGAACGCATGAGCAGAATATAGCAAACGAAAGGTATATGAGCGAATGGATCTCATATGCGGTTCGTGACATTATGAGCACAGTGCACTTTTAGGCGTCAGGCTTTTCCGTAAGTTCAAGTTTCTCCTGTGAGTTTTCAGTAGGCGGATAGGAGTACTGCCACCAGGGATCATAGCTGAAGTCTCTTCGGCCAGCATACTTAGATAGCCAGGCCTTCCACAGCAGGCGAATAACTTCTCCCGTTACAATGTCACCAGCATTCAAATTGAGCATGTGGACGATAAAAACACCGTCAAGTCGAAGGAATTCCTTGACAAACCGGTCAACGGTACGAGGATCGTCGGGATCAAGGGTGTCCGCATCGAGATCCTTTTCACAGTCTGAAGGCTCCAGTTCCGGTCCGAGCTTAAGGTACTTGCGAATAATTTTGGTCTTCCGCCTCCTTATGGTCAGTCGCAGGAACCAGGTTATAATACTGACGCCTGTGCATATAGCCACCAGGAGGGTCCAATACCAGAGGAAGATGTAGATCTTTTCGTTGAGCATGTTCACTGCGAGTGCGCACATGCCGAGAAAACGGTTGTCCGCCTGACCCAAGTGGCGGAGTTTCACGCTGCAGAAGGCAACCCGTGGGAAGTAGAGCGATTCTCGCCAGTCGGATCCCTGAATGAGGGAGGTCGTAAGCTGAACCATAAAACGTGTCATGGACTCGCTGTAGCCCAGAAATTCCTTCATTAGGTACAACTGGCCAATAGCATTCGCCAGGTAGAGCAGTTTGATGCAAAGGTAAGAGAGGACAGTCCAGGTGCCGAGGCGTTTGCTAGCCAGCAGGAGACTGCAGGTGTCGGAGACCTGGCGACCCAGGGCGGCCATCTTGCCTCGGCGATAATCGCGGTGTGCGAAAAGTAGCAGTTCAAGTCGTTCTGCAACATTTGCAATCTTCTCTTCTCGCTTCTCTGGGGCGGTGGTCTTGAGAGCGTCCATGGCTTTTGTAATGATAGCAGTGAGGTCGGTTCCCAGACGGTTGAAGGTCACGTTCTGCCAGATCACGTGTGGTATGTAGAAAAGAATTGTTTGCAGACCGAGTACGAAGGGTACCCATTGGTAATAAGCTGAAAGAAAGTGTAATTGATTACACAGGCAGGCCGGAATAGGGTATGTGGCCCTGCTGGGCAAAGTGCAGTTGAGTACTGCTAAACCCAACGACTAGCTGTAACTCTAAACGCAAGCCATAAATTGTTTACTTCGGACACCTACACTTGACCTTATCCTAAGGTTAATTCCCAAAGTCAGGGCCCAACATTAAACCTGTAATCATAACTCTGAACACCTAGGCATTTAAACGCATATCATGCTTAACCTGATTTTGACATCCTAACCCTTAATCCAGTATCCAAACGCTAAACCCAAAGGTAACAGTTAAATTGGTCGCTCGTCCCAGATACCTCAGACTCTGTGGTTACTTTTAGATTTATAAGATTACTTTGGCTTATTATTTAGTTTATTAGCTTAATTTGAGTCTAAATTTAATTTGTTTTGTTTCCTTAGATGCCACCAAGGTCAGATAAATATACTATAATAATACTATTCTCCAAACTAAGCCCAAATAAACAAAACTATCTACAATAGAAACTAAACTAGACTAAAACTAAAGTTTAACTAATAAGGCAAATAGTAAATCGAAAACTAAACTAAACTAGTAACACCGGTCCGTTAAGAAAACAGTTTGGCTCTACGGGTGGGTGACCCTAAGACCAAATATAAAACACTTTCAAGACCAAAATACACTGAAATGAAGAAAATTACTTGGTAATTTTTGAACAGCAATCCAGTGGTGTTTACTACCATGCCATGGCCCAGAGGCAGCAAAATTGGCAGTGCCCAAAGAGGAGGGATTGCCGGCTTCACAGAACAGTTCGCTAGGGATTACTTTTCTGAGATAATTGAGTGTAACGTAAATCCTTATTTTCATCAGGCAGATCATTTTTCTTATCATAAAAAATGGACCGTAAAGAAGGCTTGTGTAAGCAGGCAAAGGGACGTACTAGTTTTCCAAATTTTGCCAACCAAACATAATTCTATTTTAACTTATCGTTTTCATTTTAAGTCAGTGTTTCGCTTTCTGCTTTTGTTAAACAAATGCATTCGGTTTTCTGTCTGTTATTAATGACTTTTACTTTGACTTCCGGGCTATGTAATTATTCATTTTTATGAAGGACTTAAATCTGATAATTATGTACATTAATACAGAGCGATTTAAGTACACCCAGGTAACGGTGGTTCTTCTTGAAACGAGATGGATCCTTTTTGTTTGTGCTGACTGATTTCGTTCATAATTACTATGCCAGGGAACAGTAACGACAAAAAAGCATTTCTTACCCATTTTACGCTCCAACTCTAGGGCATCCCAACCGGCCTCATCCTCTGGGATGGTTTCATTTATGCCGATGGGCACTGTTCCATGCACCCAACAGTACGATGCCATGTAGTCCTTGAAGTTGGAGCCCGTCGGCACCGTTGGTACATGGCAGGCCAGAGGTTTCAAAATGTAGGTTTTGGCCGAAACTATGGCAGTGCAGATGATGAGGATGACAGTACTGTGTGAAAAACTCAGTCGGTCGGCCCAGTCCTGGATGCCAACCAAGGCAACCGCTTGATACTTTTGGTAGGAATCAATAAAGGCCGTTCCCAACATGGTGACTTGAGTTCACCCAACGTTTTGGACTTCCGGATTATAGCTTAAATATGAGAAAAATGATCCAGTGAATGCCGACAGTCACATAAAGAACAAGTGAGAAAAATCGAGCGAAATAACAACCAAGTTTACCATGGACGTGTTAGGTGGTGAAAAGACCATATATCGGGTTATGATTATTCATCCGGCAAAGTCAAGAACTTTTCTTATGTCTAGTGGTCGTTTCTGTTATAGCCTTGCTTTATTATTGCTGGCATTTGTATCCTAAGGAATTACCCTATCAATTTGGAAATCTTTTTATCGTACAAAATAATAAAAGGAAAAAAAGGAGACCTATTTTCATCACTCAGCCGGAAATGATATTCAGGGGAGAACCACCATGTAGTTTTATATATCATAGGTTATCTTAATCCGCAGTCACTAACGGTTGTGAAACTCGGATAGTCTTGCCTATGTGAAAGCATGTTTACCGGGTCTGGCGGTTTTCCAGCCATGTTTAGAAATAGTGGACAGAGTCATGTCGACCTCTATGCATGGAGACACTAACAGCCAGATCGGACAAGGAGAAAAGAGACTGAGAAGCCATCCTTTGGCGAGTTTAAGTATGAAACTAAACGGAACTCTTAATGGAAGTGATGGTGTACTTTTTTCCAATTCACTTGACACAATTGTGAAATATTCGCGGCCTCGGTAGGAGGCGAAACCACACAGCAGCGAAGGCTTTTTGCGCAGTCAACACTCTACCATTGAGCTACGAGGCTCATTTTCTTCAAATTTCTCAGCGTGTCCATTTAGCTCTTCTATACTTCCGAAGTAAACGGCGATATTAACGCTGCCAGACTATAGCCTTCCGTGGAATTTATCCCGAGGCTACCTGTTCGAAGGCTAACAGACTGCAGAAATGATGTGAACTAGTGCTTCTCGAGGTCGCTAGGAATTAGCATCGCTTGGGGATGGGCTTTTCGTCCCAGTTTAATACACTACGATACTAATACCAAGATTAGAATTACAGCTTGTGTTATGGTAACTGCTGTTTAAGGAGAAAGTTATCTGCCTACCACTAGGATTGGATTCCGAACTGCAAAAATATGTCCTATTTGGAGAAATTCAAGACTTATGCGTTCTATTCGCAGATCAGTATACGGAGTGAAGTTTCCACTAATTAGGAATTGGGAAGGTTATACGTGCGTGCGTAAGACTGACAGGCAGGCAGGCGTTTGAACCATAAACGGGTGAAAGTAAGTAGTATTTTGGTTTTTCGCAGCTTTATTTTCCCTTGTCTGATTCCATGTCGCGTCTCAGAGGCCTCAAGTTCTTGGTGAAGAGCCAATCTCCTTTGTCACCTATTTTTAGCCAGACAGTGACAGTTGGGTCCATGCCGT